CCCGCAGAGCGGGGTCGGCGGATACCTTGTTTATCGCGAAGGAGAGGCGTCGGCTCTGTCATCTTAACCCTCCACTGCGCAGTCCCTACGTCTAAAGCCCAAAGCCAGTTGGAAAGTTCTATGTACATCTCACAGTATTGTGCAAGTTTTCTTCTGCAGCACTTCAGTTGACTAGTGCTAGAGTAGCGTATACGCACCCTTGACTCTGGCGCCTCACGTGTACACCCTGGAGAGTCAAAACTGGCACCTGAAGCTGAATTTTGCACCCTGCACCCTAAGAACTGAAACCCATGCCCCTACGCAGATCTAGACATAAACGTCCGATGGGGTTGAACAAAGCTGAACCCTGCATCCCAAAGCCTACACCTTGAACCCTTAATCCTACACCTTTATAGGCACTAAACCCTAGCCCCTAAATCCTACACCCTTAATCCTACATCCTAAGCCCCCAAAGTCCTACATCCTAAGCCCTGAACTCTAGCCCCTAAACCCGGCTGTTATTTGTTTTGGTAGCATTACCATTATCAGTATTCTTCTGACTATCGTTTGTGTGAGTATTAGTATTACCATTACTATCAAAAGGAGGGGTGTGTACGGTAACCCTGAACGCTGGTTACGCTGGGTTGCCACCCAGGTCTTCCGGCCCTTCCGCACCCGCGAAGCCGCCTTCGACAGGTCCCGACTTTCAAGAAGCTCTTAGAGGGAACATCTAGGGATTATGTAAGGGTTATTGGGATGGGGGGGGACTTATTGGGATGTTCAGTGGTTCTAATAGGGGGGTAAGGGTTATGGGGAAATGGGGGGGTTATCTAGGGATGGAAAATCGGGGGAATCGGGGGAATCGGGAGTACAAGGAGTAAAGGTGTTATGTTGTGTGCAAGGGATTATCATATGGACTGTAAGGTTTATGTACCACTAAACTATATAGCCTCAAACATAGCCCAGTATGGATCTTATACTTATACTGTGAAAAAGTTGCCTAAAGGATCTCCCAAAGACAGGGGTACAATCTCAGAGGTACTTTCCATCCCTCCTTGCCAATCTTGTTGCTTTGATTGTCTTTCTTCTTGTCTTTTGACAGTTACGGCGGCGGCTACGGGCATTGATGTGGTCGACCCCGAGGAACTGAAACGAAGGACCGGGCAGGAAGTCCTTCATGGGGACTGGGGTGTTCTAAACTTGGCCAGGAGTGTAGCTTTCAGGGACGTGGCTTCAAGGTGTCTGGGCTGGGATGATTGAGGCTTGGATGTTGCCAAGTACGGGTTTGATCTGATAACAACCCCCTCTATCCACATTCAACTAGAAGTCTGGAATCGTTGCGCGGAGCCTTCGTGAATGTGAAGCTTTCGGTGTTGGCGTATTTGAAAGATGAAAGAGTGCCTGAACTTAAGAACCTCGCTGCCATCTGCAAACTCCGGACCCCAAATCAGAGATCTTGAGCTCTAGGCCTAACAAATCGTCGGTCCTTTTTCTTACTGGGGGTTGGTAGTAATACCTACATAATATACTCCCTTACTCCCTACTAATCCCCTAGTAAGTTTTTGTGTCTTCTCCTTGCCTCCATACACCTGAGCTCAGCAGGATACGTGGCACGGGCTCCGCTCCCATGTGGTCCCAGCAGCTGCGCGAGCGGACCGGGGATGCTTGGACAACATAAGCTGGGGGAATTCGGTATATGGGATAAGGAAGAAGAGGATGGAAACCACTACATTATAAAAGCGTGTATGTTGGGAGTTTAGGGGTTTCTGAGGATTAGGCACCTCTTTTTGGAGGTCCTCGAGGTCCGTAGGATAATGCATGTGATATTCTGCGGATATGAGAGGGTGCCATGGACGGACAGGGTTAAGCGGTTTTAGTATTCTTCATTTTCGAGCCGTTCAGGCTTAATTCACTGATGCACTTCATACTCTCCAGAGACACAGCAAGAGAGCAAGAGAGAGCAACAGTGGGAGCCGGAGGAATACTGATCATGGCGAGAAAATTTCCATATGGCGTAGGAGGGCCATATTCGCTGCAAGATATTTGTCAAACAACAATCCTTATCAACACAGGTCTGCGATTTGAGCAGGGAAGGAGATGTAGCTCAGCACGCGAAAGCTTATCTTTTGGCTGGGCCAAGCCAAGACCCGAAACCGCATGCGAACTCAACCACAAATCTGAGCCGATGGGAAGGATAAACAGGTAGGTTGTTTGGGGTCCAACCCTGTAAACTAGGACTGACTGTCGTATGATTTTTGCAGGGCCCTTACCATGGGGCTTGGGGGCGCCAACATCCTTTAAAACCAAAGGCAAAACCTGTGTTGTCTTCAAAGCCTTCACACTGTTGCCTGGCTCTTTGGTTGTTGTTTTTCCGGGATGTGGAGGAGTTGCTTTGGACGCTAGACCCCATTGGATCTTACAGGTGTCCGGCAGCAACGCTTCTCAGAGAGGCAATTCCGCTACCTTGTTGTTCTGTTTCCTGACTGTGGCTCTAAGGAAAGTGTCCCCTTGAATATTCGAACTCCTTCAGCTGAGAAGTATCTGAAGTTGAGAAATCCCATCCAAAATCTGAGGAGCTGTGTAAGAGCACAGCGGATCTTCTTCAGACACAAGCCCGGGAGAGGTTGCTGGACACGCGATTGAAGAGCTTGTGGCTGGGGGTTGAGGGTTTGTTGTGCGCTTGACCTCGATGAGCTAGTACATGTGGTGTTAGCAGTTTCAGACTTAGATTACGATGGCGCTAATGGTCTTGGGGTCCCGAGCTGTTCTAAGGGGGTTGCATGCTCAGAGTTTCAGGGCCTAAGGTCTGAGCAGCAAGTGGGCAGGGTAGGGTTTGGCTGTTTAGGGCTTAACGTTGGGAAGTTCTCCCGGCTTTTTATGGTTCTTTGTGGCTTGAGATGGCGATGCACCATATAGTATTGTCCCGGATGTCTACTATAGCGGTACCAAGAAGACCTGTGCCAGGCCCAAAGTTGCGCTCGGCCTCTTCGGGGTGTTGCTGCTGCTGGCTATGTTTGGCGGCATCTGGCTGACGTCCCGGGGTGCTGCCATTTTGCTGAATTCGGGTAGCATTGTGGTGTGGCGAGACTTGTGCTTGGCCTGGCAGGATGGCTTATGTGCAAAATGAGGTCCCCCCTGGCATGCATGCATGCATATCAACTCTTGATAAGGGACAAACACATGTCGCAGAGTTTAGTTTTGTGGCAACCTGGGTTTTCAACTGCCCATAGGCGCATAGGTGTTTTTTTGGGTTAGGCCAGTACCTAGTAATATTCTCTAATTAAGGGCAAGCGGTAGGAATCCTTAATGTAATTGGGATTCGGAGCCACTATTTTGATTGGCTTTCTTATCTGTGATCTTACAGAAATCGCCATAAGCCCTAAACCCCAAACCCCTGAAGCGGCCAAACTTTTCCCCAGGTTCCTGCAGCTGATGTTGCACTCCCGGCCTCTGTGCACAGCACCACCGCGGCCGCAACTGCAGAAGTGGTCGTGGATGGTGTGGACAGCACTGCCAAGCCAGGAAGTGTCTCGGTAACTGCACAGGAGCTTAAATGATGAAATGACGTTCCTTGAGATTTCTTGTGCTGGAAGGTTGCAAATCTGTCCCAACTGCCTCATGATTCTAATTAACCAGGCAGGTGTAACCCATAAGAATCCCTGAATCTTTGAAGATCTCGACCATAGTAAGAGCAAACCTTTTTCCTCGCATAACCGCATAACCATACTCTATTGACCCACGAAAAACCCTTGTTTAGGCCCCTGTAGTAGCTGAGCTGCACAGTTGGCCCTGCAGGTGAACCTTAGCATACCTTCGATATTACCCCAAAGTACAAAAACATAAGCTTCAAGGTTTAGAAATAATTCATGGCTATGATTGACTGATTTATGGTGGGGCCTGCAGCCTACAGTACAGCAGTCTTACTTGGCCACATGTGGGCCCAGGGAGGCTTCCAACCTTTTCTGGATGAGTCCTGGATGAGCTTGAGCAGATCTGTTGGAAACCTCATCCATACTGGAAAGCTTGCCTTTGGGTCTTGAGGTGTAGCAGAGCCCGATCCAGATGAGGCGGGGTAAAGAGGTCTTGTGGACAGTTTTGTGGGTAGTCGGGAAGGGGGTTGGTGCGAAGAGGCAGAGGCACCAAGGGCATGGGACACCCACAAGCTTGGAACCAGAAAAAAAGTTGAGGTATTGTTTGAATGGGCTTAGTTTGATTGCCGTGGAGGCGCTTCAGCCATCCTTCGGAAACTGCAAGAGTGCTTATCGCAATGTGTGATTATGTTTCCGCAAGGAATGCTGATGCTGATAAGGTGTTGCATGATGCCCTCCTTCTGTTTTCGTTGCCGTGATGTGCAGACGGTGTAAGTCTACATCCACCCGCACCAGGTTCTAGACGGATACGTTACGAAGCTCCAATGAGCCCTCAGACTGGTAGCCATGTGCGTTGCCTTTTCGGGTGGCGCAGGTGGTGGCTGAACCAAAGAAAGCCAGCTGGGGCAGCAGAGCAGAGGCAAGGCATGTTTTCAGGTAGGTGTTTTTTCCATACATGCTTCAAGCAGTGGTAACAAGACGGTAGTGAGTAGGAAGTACTTGAATGACTGCAGAAAAGAATTAAGATGCTTTTCAGACTTTGCAGGACCTGTCTTTGGGAGTTCTGGAAGCAGCTCTGGGTGCACTGTTGGGGAAAGACCATGTCGGCACTTCTGGACTCAAGGTTCCCCCGTTAGTATTGTTCGGAGATAGAAGGTTTCGTCGCATTCGCCAATGGGAGTGGCACGCGTCGGCGGAAGTTGCGCAAAAGATAGCTGCCAGTCTTGAGCTTTATGTCTGAGAGGTGGAACCTTGACCTGACCCCTTCCTTGAAAGGATCCATCGGCAGCAATGTTTGCTGCTCTGCAGAAGGACAACAAGCGCCTCAGGCGCATCCAGGGATCTGATTTCTCGCCAAGACAACAGAGGAGGGGAAGATTGTGAATATTTCTGCGGGCTGAGAATTGGTTGGTCTTGCAGTCGTTAATGGCAGCAGCCTCATTGAATCCATAAACAATCGCGCGATCATCGTAGGTCCAGGATCCGCATGGTGTGAGTGTGTTGGGGCCATGTCGAAGCCTTGCTAGCAGGTAGTGCATAGCTTCAGGAGTTTCAGGCATATGAGACCTTCCGGAGACTCCTCAATGGTGTTCGTATTTGCTATTTGAGGAGCTTGCTGGCAAGCTCAAGCTAGACCCGAGGCCAAGCCAAAGCCGTTGTGTGCAGGAAAACTGCCAGCCCCGTTTGGCAGATGAAGATTAGACATCCACATGATGAGATTGAACCAAGTCCATTGTGTGAGCGAGATTTGTTGCGTGGTAGGTCATTCATGATGGGCGTTTGGAGACTGCTATCATTTTCGATTGAACAAGAGAAGCAAGTATCCAACAACAAGATTTGCTTGGCCTTGTCTGAGACCTCACAACTTGGTAAAACAGCTTGCTCTGCATGAGACGACACGCCTAATCTACTTTCAGGTTCTTGGAGGTTCATGGCTCAGGATGTTCTGGAGTGTTCTTATACTTGTTCAGGGTGGCTGTGCAACCTCAATATCTCAACCTGGCAGCAGAAGATCCAGTGCGCAATCTCTGATGTGCAGCCGGGTCAAAAAGGGCTGTCATAGTCTGTGCTGAAGACCAACTCCACAAAGCTTGCACTCTCATCTTCGAATCAGTCGCCGCGTCAGTCGCCTGCCACAGCCGCTGAACTTCAAGCCTAGAACAGTAATCCTTGCAACTGAAACCCTAGATCTTGAAACTCTCACTGAGCAGTGATTCTTGGGATAGAAGCTTCCCGACTGGTATGTGGTGCGTTCGAAGGATCCAAGCATCTCTGTCTGAAACTCCCATGTGTGTGCCGTTGGCTTTGCCACCAAATCTGTTGCTTTAGCCCCAGGCTCAGCCACATCTCTTAAATCTGAGCTTTCGAGGCTCGACCAAGTACCCAAACACAACAGCGTGAAGTTTCAATCTTCACATTAGCGCCCTGGGCCGTAGAACTGGAGAACCTTGAGCCTCAACCCTAAGCCCTAAACCCGACACCCTAAACCTGGGAGTCCTAGCTAGTTCTAGTCCGACTGGGCAAACAAGACCCCCAAGCTGTATGCTAGACCTAAACGGCCGATGGGGTTGTAAAAAAAAATTAGGACTCCAAGCTCTAAGTCCTCTAGCCCAGCTCTATGCCTTCGAAGCGCGAAGCACCCCAAAACCCCTAACCCAGACCCGTGATTCATAACCCCCTCCCATTAATAAGGATTATATGAGGGATTCTAGCATTAAGGAGCGTGTTTTATTAATCAGCGGGTCTACATTAAGCTCTAAAAAATACATCCCCCTATAGAGCATTATAGAGCCTTATATAACCCCTCCATAACCCCTCTAGAACCCCTATAGAGGCCCTATAGAACCTCTGTATAACCCCTAAACAACCCCTATAAATTCCCCAATCTTTTGCGAGGCAAGACATCGCCGCCCTGCGCGGCGAGGTGCAAGAGATGAAGACCTTGCTGAGGCTATGTTGGGGTTATATAGGGTTTAGGGTTTAGGGTTGAGGGTTAGATTGGGATTGTATTGGGATAATGAAAAAGAAATGGAAACTGCAGGGATTATAGGGGTAATATAGGGGTTATTATGGGATTACATATTGGGGTATATGGGGATAATGGAAAATCGAATGGACACTACTATTGAGGGTTTAGGGTTTAGAACTCCGGGTTGAAAAATCCATCCCCCTAAGAATAGTTGAGAGGAAGTATTCTAATTGTGATGTAGGAGCCAATTACAGTCAATCATTAGGGCGATCGCAATGTGTGTTTTTATTCTGGAGTTTCCATCAATACGGGGACCGTTATATGTATATGTATATATATATATATTTATCTGCTCACCCCCCCCTTGTGATCCACCGGAACAGGCCTTTTCCAGTGAAGAATCGTGGTGTGTCTATATATATATATATCCAAATATACCATAGTCCTCTTTTTAGGCCCCCCCCTCAAGGGCCTTAGTTTTGGGAAACTCCATTCCTATATATACCTGAACCTCATACTTAATATGGTCATCGTTATAGTGCCTCACTACAACCAAGAATCATTATTCTCGCGCCGTGACAATATTAATAGTCATGCAGAGAATCAAAGTCGTCTTGGTCTCCTGAAAGCTACTAATTTTTGTGTTAACACTAGAGCTACTTGTCTTGGTAGGAGTATTAGGAGTGGAGCGCTCAGGATGCATATTTGAAGCAGTTCGCGCAGGCTGTTCATTTTAGCAACGGCTAGGGATCATTGAGGCTCTGATGTTTGGGGTGCTTGTTGTCCGGGTTCAAGTTCAGCGCAGAAAAAAAGAAGTCTCGGTTTCAAGGGCAGCTTCTCAAAACAAGGGTCATGCTCGTTTATTTCCGCGTCCAGAGGTATTATGTGATGATCAATCTGATCGGAATGGCTGCGGTGCTGTGTTCCTGTTGTGTTGAGTCATCCTTTTCGACGCCCCATCGGGACAGGCCGCAAGGAGAGCCGTAATTGCAGCTTGCTCATCAATGTTGGTGGACTTGATGCGCTTCATCATTTTGATAGGCCATTTTGCCCAACACCTACCTTACATTTTATTCCACGTTCTCAGTTTCAGAACAACAAGCCTCACTCAGTTGAACAGCTCTTGGGCCCCGTAAGCGCAAAACCAAACACCTTGCACAACCCGCACCTGGAAAACCTGAGCTATGACTTTTTTACAATCATCTAACGCCACCAACCCTTAAACCCCTCAACTCCTGAAGCCCCGGAAGCCCCAAACCCGTTGAATCCTAAACTTTCCCCATAAACCCCCTACAGCCCGTAAGTAAACCCCATAGAGCCCCAAAACCCACAAAAGCTTTACTTGGTAACCCTGAAAAACCTTCAGCCCTAAACCCTAAACCCTACACCCTAATCCCTGAACCTAAACCCTAAATCCTACACC